TCTCTCTCTCACGGATCAGGAAATACTGGGACTCTTAAAAAAAAAAAGTATCGTCTGTGTACAGCTGAACCAATGAAGGAAACTGAAGATGTGCTGATGTTGTCCCTGCAGGCATTTAAACTAAGGGGTCTTCGGATTTTATTTAACCCATTAAAACAGATTTCTGCTGCTTTAGTGGGGATGAAGAGGAATCTTTCCATTGGAAAATTCCCTCAATCTGAAAAAAGCAACAATATGTGCCCCAAGGTTTCTAAAGAGTGATTGTTTTTTTTTTTTAAATAAGCTGAAATGCAGATTCTTTCCCACCCCCAACCATTCAGGTAACTGAAGTAGGATTTAACATCACACTGGGTTTGTCTCATTGAACGTGACTCTAGGTCTCATTGTCTGAGATCTACTTAGTGGAAAGGAACCTGCTCCCTGCCCAGCCAGAGGCCGGAGCGAGAGGCACCCAGGCATCAGGGAGGCCTCACTGCTCAGACCTTCTCCTTGGTCCCTGAGCCTTTGGGCTGGAGCACCTCCAGTCCCTAGCTGGCGGCTCTCCAGGGTTTTACTACCTGTCTTTGCTGGTTAGAGGAGGAGCAGGCTGATGACTGGCTTTTCCACTCTTCGTTTAAATAGATAAGCTTGATGTATCTAGTACTGTTTAATGGAGACATTTCCAGTTATTTGCTGTCTCCCTATGTGACATTTTCTGAGAGTTACCTGTGTTACGATCACTTCAGTATCATTCCCAGAGTTTCCCAAGTAAAATTCTCTTAAATTAACTTTCATGGTGGAGGGAGAGGAGTCCCTTTCCTACTCATCATGCCCTGAATCTATCCCACTCTACTATCTAGGGCACAGGGGTAACTCACCCATATACAAATGCCACAAATTCCAAGCCTTGCTCTACCTCGGGAGGCTTTGGGAACTCACAGAGATTATTTCGGAGGCATCTGCATGTGATGACAAATAGTGGGGGGTGGGCAGTAGTACTCTGGGCCTGGAGGTAGAAGGGGCATTCCCCCAAAAGTCAGCTTCTCTGAGCTGCTTCCTGCTCCGCTAGATGTGGGCCACCTTTGCAGGAGGAACAGCCTCCCTAAGGATGGTGAGGGAAACAACCGAGGCAACAATGAGCTCTGGGCAAACTGAACACCATCGCCTGAGCTCGGACCATCCTCCCCACCCAGGCTGCCACCGCTGTTTAGCCACTGCCTGGATCCCAGGGGGCCTCTGGGTCTCATAGGTAAGGATGGTGACAGTCTGAGGCACTTCTGAAGAAAAGACAGAAATCAGCTCACTTTCTGAGGGGTATAGGATGCTGCAGGTAAGGAGACTGTGGGGAAAGCACTGGATTCAGAGTGGGAGGGCCCCGGTTCCAATCCTGGCTCCACTCTGCATGCCCAGTGTGACTCCCTGGTGAGGTTTAGGCTCCCTCTCTGAAATGCAGGGACTCCATCCAACACACACACACACACACACACACACACACACACACACACACACACAACACCATGAACAAAGAATGGTGATTCCCAGTGGAGCCATGTGCTGGGGTGGGGAGTAGCAAGCATAGGAATCTGGTTGGAGCTGAGGATCCACAGGGAAAGCCATGGAAATCTAGGGAGATAGGGCTGAGGGCAGCGGGAAGGATGGTCCTCAAAGCAGCAACAGAATGAATAGGATAAAACTGAGGTACAAGGCGGCCACTGAGAGTTCTGCATCAGGAAGTAAGGGATGTGTCAGAAACAGCATAGAGAGGAAGAGAGCAGGCCCCAGCGCTGACAATTCAGGGCAGGGCTAAAATGGGGGTTGGCTGTGGAGGGAGAAAGAAGTCAGCCTGTCACAGAAGAGAGAGATTCATTCACTAAGAGGCTGGGGAGGCTATTTATTGAGCACTTACCAAGTGCCGGGAGGAGCCGAGAAGACTGGGAGGAGCACCGGCTCAGCGACTTCTCCCATTGATTCATCGACAAGCAAACAGCCCCTGCCCTCCAGGTCCTTACATTCCAAGTACGTTCTATCTGAGGAAACTCTAAGCGCATGTACACACCGAAGTGAAAACAAAATATTTACAATTTAGACTGGGGGACTCTGGCAGGTGGAGCATTTTGGGAAGGTCGCACGAAGGAGAAAGTGCTGGCGCCAAACTCTGGAGAAAACAGAGACTGTAGGAAGCCAAGAGGAGGGGGAGGGGCAGGGGGGCAGGGCATGGTGGGTGGACAGCCTGAGCGTAGGTAGGTAGGTAGGTAGGTAGGTAGGTAGGTAGGTAGGTAGGTA